GGGAAGAGTGAATGCAAATTCCAATAAGAGCTTCTTAAAGCAGAGACTTTGCCCTATAAAATGAAAAAAAAAACTTTTCAATTCGACCAGTTTTCGCGAAGTTACGCTTATTTGAAATTCGCCAAATTTTGATGTAAATTTCTTGTTGCGTTAATTTTTTTGACCAGTGTACAAATTGGCGAGTTCTCTTCTTACGTTCTGCATTTCATGAAAAAACTGCGTTTGCCAATTCAATATGTCAATATGTTCAATATGTCATTTTATTTTTCTTACTGTATCCCTTGACTCTCTAGACTTATCCTGTATAATTCGAACAACTACTGTGCAGAAATTTCTATGTTATTATTTCTTTTATTTATGCTACAATATTTAAGTGAATTATGAAAAAGTTTCAAGTTATTCTTTTTCAACGAAAGAATGTGAATCGCCAGTAGTTGATTAACGATAAAAAGAATTGTTGGACGACTTTAGGCTGGCAGATGGTTTCTTTATTTAAATCCGACGTTTCGACCATACAGGTTGTGGTCCTCCTCAAGGAATTCAACAATAATGTTACGTCATTGATATTAAACTAAAAAGCACAGGAGTTTGACATCCATCTCTGGGCGTCACTCGGATTTATTCGAATTTATTGCCCTCGAAGCGAAATCTGTTCAGTGGAAAATTCATTGTTAGATTGTGTAATCGTTGCGAAAAAAGAATTGTGATTGAATTTGGGTATTGGAAACCTGCTACCTCATATTATTATAAAAAACTATCTCATAATAGAAGACTTTCCTCTGTTATTCTCTACCCAATATCGGTTCCTTTCCATTAAAGAAAATTGTTCTTAAATAATAAAATTGCCTCATTGAAGTAAGTTTTTCTTCCTTTAACGCGATATAATCTTGTTTCAAGATTTTCACGTGGAAACTAAACATATTTTCAAAAAGAGAAGAATAGTCTTTTTTTCTGTGTAGCTTGAAGCAGTTTACTTGAGGCCTTTCAGACATCTTTATAAGATCGTGGGCGAGCTCCACCGTGACACGTGTCACCTCCACATTCATAATATAATAAAATCCGAGGCAATAAATGTCTCCGCGGGATAAACTTGGTCAATATTGCTAGTACTTTCTTTATTAAAATCAAGACAAACTTTTCGACGATGGCAGGGTAAAGCCATCGAAAGCCACGAGGATGATATTAATTAAAACACCTTCGTTACTAGGATTAGGCTGATTCCAAATACATATAAGGCACGTTTGCTCAATAAAAGAGAGTTCTACTCCAATCTGACATAATGACATTCTATTATCTTGGAGAAGACGGAATCCTCAACCACTCCTTTCATTTCCAGGGCTAATTTTAGGCGAAACTTTCTAGACTTGATCCTTGCGCAAAAGAGCTACCGAAGACACGCACGCTATAACCATTACCATCAAAGGATTTCTATCCCCGAATTAATATAATCTCGCGAGCGCTTTTTTTTTAGTTTCATTGTAATTAAATGTAGATTAATTGATTGCGGTTAATATTTCGCGGTGCGATATTTCGCCAACATGCGATCATAGTAAAGTATCTTCACTGTATATCTGCCAAGTGTAATAACTGTCTTTGGACCATAATACGAGACAAATAATAAAGGAGGAATAATCTCATAATACCTCTTGTTACCTTTAAGGTAGTTATTTCGTAAAACCATTTATGCGAGAATTGTTTCAAATGTTTACAGTTCATTCTTTACATTAATACGTACAAATAAGACTAATTAAATTTAAATTGACCGTCTCAAAGTTCTAGAAAGAAATTGTGAAAGTTTGCTATGTTATACGAAATATTACGAGTAAAACACGTTAAAAATATTGTTACACGTGAAATATTTAACACATATTATTTTGTGTTAAAATATTAATATTTGCGTTTGCAAACGCGAATGATGGCAGATTTTGTTTTTTTAAGCTTCACGGTGAGTAAGATTCGTATGAAAAACAAATATGTTATAAAGTAAAATAGAACGAATAACTGGAAAAAAATCAAAATAATTAACCGCTCCGTTTTAACAATATAAACAGTTAAAACTGAAAAATGGGAAGAATTGTGTAGTATACATGAGTGTAGTGTAAGAGATGTGGCAACAGTGCCTCAAACTATAATCTTTCGAATCTATTTTATATTATGTATTAATCGTAAGTGTATTCTTTAGAACAATATTACATCAAGATATATCATTGTAACAATTGAGTGCCGGTTCCTATCTGGAATAAACTTTTAAGCATTACTGTCGCGAAACAACTACCTTGAGGGAATCCTAAAGCCGCTGGCAAACTCCGTGTCGATAAGATAGGAGACGGAATTAACAACGTCAATTATCGACATTTATAATTCCAAGTTCAGGATGCTAGAATGCGACCCGAGAAATTTATAGCCAATCAATTTACAACTTTTACAAAAAAGCAGCAATTTTATTAGACCGAGATTCTGGATCGAATTCTAGCATCGTCAATGCATGGCTTTACTGACAATCTGACAGATGTTTGATAGCGACCTCTCTCGAAAAAGCCTGCAACTATTTCTACACGCCCCAAATAGCACCGTACATCTTATGGACGTCCGTTTTACGTTCATTTTACTACCATACGTCCATGGACATAATAAGATCGTCCATTGTACGTCCATACAAAGATATACATTGGATGTGCATAAACGGACGTCCAGTGGACATCCATTTAAGATTCCCTTTATATAAATAATTTATGGATATATACTCCCGAGTAGAAATGAAATCATGCATGCCTTGTGTATGACGTCAGGGTCCGATAGGGAGGAAGTAAGGAATGCCCTAATAAGGAATCCCTGAAATGTGCCTGATCCGGTACGCCTGATTCCCTCATAGAATTTGATAAACGTTAACCTGAATATATAGCACTAGTACCACTCACTGCCGCGGCGTGGCGACCGCGCGTTAGTCTTTCTCGTAAGTAAAAATCATCCCGTATTAGTATAAGAGGCGAGCCGATATGATGCGACAGCGAGTTGTTGGATCATGGATAAACTTCAATAACCTGAATATACTTTTGATGACTATGTAATTTAACACAATTTAAAAATTAGTTTAAAAAATTGAATTTTCACCCTACTAAAATTTCTGCCCGGGAATGTATCCAGCAGAGATTTCAATTTTGTCCATAAAAAGTCCAAAGTTCATCCATTAGATTCATAGTTTATTCATTTACGATCCATAATTCATCCATAATTCATCCATAAATGTTCAACCATTAATGGACAACTTATAGATGTCTATTGGAGTTGCAAATGGATGTACAATGGACGTTCTTTGTACGTCAGCTGCAACTGATATGGACGTTCGATGTATGTACACAATATCCGGCATGGATGTTCATTGTACGTACATAGGACGTACTTGTGTTTATTGGGCGCCATACTGCTCTTTTCTTCTAGACTTGGATTTCTGGACTTGTGTTTATTAGAAGTAAGCCTTTTTTCTAGGCTCTTAATCTTAATTCTAATTGCACGATATTGTTCCTATATGTAGTCCCTAGAGTATGCTGGTCTCATTTTGTATATATTTAGTATAGAATTCTTGTATCAAGCAAATATTATCGTCAAGTGTACCAAAAATTAGAAAAATTAAAAAATTTTTTGTTTTTTATATAAAGTCGACCAGTAGTCTAGATTTTGCCGCATACTTTAATTCCGTAAAAGAGTTTTACATTTCTATAAAGCCAATTAAAAGATTACTTCTAACAAAGAATGTCGATAAAACAGACAGCTTTAGGATCCCCTTAATACTGATTTTGTTTCAACGAGTTTATCTCAATTACACAGATCTTGTGGATACATCATTTCTTTCCGTGTACACGTGTTGTTATAAATGTACTCGTATATTTATAACAACACGTGAACACGGAAAGAAATGATGTATCCACAAGATCTGTGTAATTGAGATAAACTCGTTGAAACAAAATCAGTATTAATGAATAAAAATATCAGTAGTTGTCTTAATAACCTGGATATTTAGTTCAATGCTTAAAATTAAAATCCACAGCAAATACAATTGAGCGAATTATTTATGTTTGTGATAGCCCGTGACGTTAACGTTTAATTCAAGCAACTTAATTTTTTTAATTCAATAGCATCTTTTTTGTGTATATAAATGTAGCATAAATGAGAGTTTAGTCAGTTTTGTTTTATAGTAATAAGACTGTCACGCGAGACCAGTCTCTTACAGATAAGGACGACCATTGAAATCTCACTTAGCCTTCGTCCCGAAGCCAATCGATCGAGCTAGAAAATTGCGGGGAAACTCACAATCAACGAATGGCATGAGATCGTGCCTGCCGTCGTGATGACAGTACACGAAAAGTGTGTCATGTCCTGCCCTATTATTAGCAATATTTTACAACTTGGCTGTAATTTTGAGATTTCTATCCAGTTAATCAATAGTATCTTCTAATAGAGAAAAAATTTTTTCACCACGTAGACCACGTTTCTCATGAAATCGAAATAATTGTCACAATTACTTTTGTCGAACTATTGAGTTGCAAGGGAAAAAATACTTATTACTAATGCATTAATTTTGCGATTGGAATCGAACGGCCACTTCAAATGGCCACCATATTGCTTTGCAGGGTACAGAAATTGCACAACGAAGTTGAGAGCAGATAGCATTAAAGCAGTTCAGCAAACATTGTTGTACGATATATCACGAAATCCAATATCGGTTAGCATAATTAACAATTGTTACACCGAACTAGACGCGCAGCATTGACAAAATTGGACGGGGTCCAGAATTGTCGTTATCGACGACGAGGTTGTATTGAACGCCGTAACATCGATTCCGTATAGCACACGAACAATAAGAACTGAATTAGAATCCACATCAGTCGCCGATTAAGACGCGATTGCGTACGGAAGCTAAGGAACGGATCGTTAAAACGTGTTAAAATAGCGTAAATATGAGGTATTTTCTTTTTTTTCCTCGCGGCAAAAACTCTACACAATTTCTTAGCTCACTCTGCATCTTTTCAGACTAATGAATGATCTCTCGCGATACGGTACACGTTGCATCCTTTGGCACGCATTCAGCAAACACTACGTTTTAATGAAAAAGTAAATAACAGGTCTCGCGTGTGTTTGCAATGGTCGATAAAAGTCGTGAAAATACTTTCCCAGTTCGTGGTCAACGTAAATCTTAACTTTATAACTTCTTATCTTAGACAGTGTTTCGTATTGTTTCGTAAGCGGATAACAATGATTAGCAAATATTTTACTTCTATAATCTTAATGATATCAAATATAAATGTGTTGATGAACTATTGATACTTATATGTTTTCTGGATAATCGGCTATCGAACTTTGCATTCTGTTTCCAAACATACCTCAGCTTCCGGATGTTCGAGAGAGCGGCCTCCTCGACCGTGCCCTCGACCGCTACGAAAATCATCGCCCCGGCGATGCTGTACAGAAGTATGACAACGAATAAAAAAATATGCGTGAACCACCTTTTGCTCCAGGAACTGACCTACACACAATATTTATATCATTAGTTTAACAATTAAGAAATTAACAATTACAAAATATGTAATCTACATTACGGATTTGACACACACAAAAAATTAATAATACTATATTATGGATTGCAAGCACGCGATAAAATTAAAAACAACCCTCGTAGAAAAATATTACTGGTTGATTAGTATTTTATTACTAAAGTCCAGTAATCTATTACTAGTGACTAGTATTTTATTTCCGTCTTCTATACACGGAGAGAATTTCCTCTTAAAATTTACCTTGAAAATTGTGCAATCGTAGGACAACATGGCATTTTGCAGACTTTTGTGCGTTTTTTTAAATTTTACCATACATTTTACTAGTAAAATGATGATGAAAGAAGTAAATAATACAACCAGTTCCCAGTATTTAATTACTGTATATTTTTAAGTACTTTCAGTATTAATTTTCTATAAGGGAATATCACTTTTTCTATCATATATGCGTTTCTATACGAATTAATAAATCTTAAATCCACGTTACGCTGGTTAATTGACGTATGTATATTTCTTTTTCTTCCTGATTTTAGATTTCCAATATCCGCATTGCATTATCATTTATAAAAATCGATCGATCTGCAATCGGTGAGGATCGAAAAGTTGCGAAAATTAAATGACTGTCATTTGCAATAAAATAAGATAAACTGAACTCCGCAGAATAAATCAGTTTATCTGCACGTAATGTGCAATAAAAATACACGTTTATAAACTTATAAACATAAACGTTTTAAAAGAAGTCAAATATTTGGCTGGTTGCACGGTTCAGTGATGTATGTTTAGAAAATCGCGGCAGAGGCAGACATTTCCATAAAAAAAATTTATCTGGAAGATTTCGAAGACATAGTCAATGTCAGAAAATGTATTTAGCAGTTTTCGCAAGCGTCTCGATTGCGCAGATTGTCGTCGTTTTAAATATATATATCATTAATCTATGCAATCAACCAGAATCGTTGGTTCTTTTTCCCATAATATTATATTTTTATAAATTCACACATGCACAGGGTAGAGACTTGTACATCGTTAGAGCTAATAAAAGTACACTTAATACACTTTTATTCAAAATTCAATAGTCTTTCGAATTCTAAAACACGACATTTTATTTAAGAAAACAAAATTAACTTTTAACTCGTAACACCTTCATTCATAAAAAGTACATACAGGGTAAAGGCACCTAATATCGCCTACCAAAATTCGAATCGTTCTCACTAGAGTAATTGACACTTTTGTCTGTATTTAGCCTTAGATGAAAAAGGAAACGTTTGTGTTTTGTGTACAATAGGTTAGAATCTAAACAATTTTAATCCTCATTAAAAAGAAATAAAAATGGCACTTAATATCGCCTACCTTATAAATTTTTATAAAATCATTGTTTATCAATACGTATGAGTTTGCGAGGCTACAAATATTTATTATTTTACATCATATAAACATTTGTAGATGTTCAAAAATTTTTTAATTTGTGATTATGTTTATACAATATTTTTATTATATATAACACACTATTTTGAAATATTTATAATCGAGTCAATTTGTACTTCTTTTACTCTTTTTTATTCTTAAAAATGCAAGCACATAATGTCGCGTAGGCGCATATTATTACGGACACCTCGCATAATATGGTGGGCGGTATTGAGTGCATCCTAATATTTATACATTTAAAGACTGTTTGAACTTACATTCTTACCATGGGTTGCCGAATTTGCACTGTCTGCTAAATTGTTCAGCACTCAAAATTTGTTTTAACGCGTCTCCTGAGTCAAACTTTATTTCTATAACGTTGTAACTACAATATGTCTTCTTACACACGTTTAGCTACTAATTCTATGTATTGCCGATTGATATCAGCACTTTGTTCACAAGATATTACGAATGGCGATATTACGTGCCTCTACCCTACTATGTAATGTGCCTCTCGAAGTTGTTGTATTTAACAATGCTTTATACAACACATAATGTAAAATGCTTTTCAGGATGTGCAAATTAAGTGGCTCATTTCATTTGCATAGTCTTTTTGCGTCTTGTATGTCAAGAAAAAATGGCAGATCTCTTCTAGTTCAATGATACAAATTAATTCACACACACTTCATCATGTCGACCTACTCACTACAAAATAACAATAATTTAAGAACGTCCCGATCTCTGCCCGATTCAGCGAAAGGGTGCCTCCCTTCCAGTATATGCACTTACCTTCTCGTAAAGCCAATAGGCGCTCTTCTCGCCCACGCTGAGACCGGACTTGGTCAGATCCTTGATCCCCTTGAATTGCGTGAAGACGAACTCGCTGGCTCGGTTGGCGTAGAACACCTGCGGCTGGCCGGAAACCGGCGTCATGGGTACCGGCGTCATCGGTACCGGCGTTTGCCCGTACGGCGTCGGCACGTAGCCCATACCGGTCCCCGCCTGCGGATAGTACTGCCCGGGAACCGGAAGCAAAATCTTTGGCCTGGGCGGCATCTTTCGAATTCGTGGCGAGTTCGACATGCTTGCGGCTGATTTTGCGGCTGTTTCCAAGTGCGAGAAAAATACTTAAGCGCAGGTGCTTTTTGGTATCTTGCCCGTTATCGTGCACGACTGTTTTCCGCGATCGCTCCTCCCTCAATCGCCCAGGCGATTCCACAGGGGCTCATGGGGAGGAATTGTCGTCCGACATTCTCGTAGTGCAAGTAATCGAGGAACGCATTGTTCTTCCGACTGCTTTTAAATTGCCCCTTCGGAGAAATACTTTGCGATTCAACGTTCTACGAGGGACACGTTTACAGCAGGTTGGACAATGTCCGATAATCGACTCTGCGATGTGCGTGCGATCTACGGGAACTGAAGAGTCTCAGGTGTTTACGAGACACGTCACTCAACATTCGTGTGCACGGTGCTCGCACCACATAAACTCGTCGAACGTATCGGCGACTGGTGTCATTTTGTCCTCTTTTTGTCCCATCCGCTGTTTTCCGCAGATCTATGAATTTTATTTCAGTGCAGGTATAAATAGACGGACAGACGGAAGAATGTTGGCAAGCTCCTAGAGCGTGGATTCCGTGGAAGAGATTTATCTTGAAAAGCAACCGCCTGTCTCTTGGCGAAATTTACGAAAGAGGTCATTCGCGGCTTCGTAAACGACTTGAGCGATCACGAAGAGCCGTTAATATACCGCCGCGTAACATCGCGCGCTGCAAAAAACCATAATTCGATTAACCCTTTGAAGCATGGTGGTAATCCACGTTTACCACTTCAACTTCTTTACTTTTTGGCTATTTAATTTCTAGTTAACGCAATTAGGTTAGGTTTTTTGCATTTTTTAGATATCTTAACAATAAAAAGAACATAAAAAAGAGTTGAGTAGTCTTTAATATTTATTGTAAAAGTTTTATAAATAAACGAATATGAAAAAACAGCATTTTTTTCGGACAAATTCATTATTGACCAAGTTTTTTAAGGTTATTTCTTGGAAACTTTGTACAAAGGAGTTAGGTTAGGTCTCTCATTACGAATCTGATATCAGATTTTCAAAATTCAAAATGGCCGATCCAAAATGGCGGATGCAAAGTACGTAAATGTTTTAAGTTTTTCTATATTTTCGTTTGATTACGGTATTTAGGGACTCATCATGACCGCGCCGTTAGCTCTGGGTAGCGCTAAGAATGAGTAAATTCTAAGAAGTGATCTTTAAATTTTGCACCCGCCATTTCGCGCGTGCTATTTTTTATGTTCTATAAGAATTTTTCACTGGAATTTAGTTTCTATGGGTCCTAATAATATACAAATAATGTTTCTTAGCATAGTTGAATTACAGTTGAATGATATTATTCCTTTAAGTTTGGAATTCCGCCATCTTGAATTCGCCATTTTGAATTATGAAAATCTGATAACGAATTTGTAATCAGCGACCCAAAAATCCCTTGTATACAAAGTTTCACGAAAATGGTTCAATAGCAAAATGTATACTTCAAAGGGTTAAAAGGTCGCAATAAGATTCTTCTTATTGCAACCTTAGAAAGTTGCCCGAGAGCGAATTGAAAGTAATAAACCGAACGTTTCTGTAAACCTTAGGTATTATAAACGGTGAAGCTCACGGAATGTTCTATTACTCTTCACCAAGCACGCGCTTTGAATAATTTAATATTATCTAATTTAATATTACGTCTAACAAATATTATGATAAAATTATTTAAATGCAACTAATATTAAATATCATGTGTTTAAACAGAATTGCCGGGCTAAATGGTTGGTCATTTCAAGAGCGTCCTTTTGAAAATCTTAATATTCTCGAGAATCAATTAACACGAATGATCGTAGCTAAATAGAGAAACGCGCTAATCATAGGCGCTCAATGATCTTGACCGTGCCAGACACGTCCCTTGTGATCTCGCGAACTTGTGCTCCTGTAACCCGAGTCCTGTTTCTATCTAAAATTATTCGGATGACACGTGGATCAACGGCCCCGGATGGATTCTAGCAATAGATAGTACTCGAGCGTGATATAGCGCGAACCACTTAACGCAACGGATTTCCGATTACGGCGCAATTTCATTTGTAACAGAACGCGAGAAAAGACTTAAAGCGAGAATGGACCGTGAATACGACCGAAGTAACGTTCTATCGTGATATCTGAACCATCTCGAAGCTCAAAACGTTAAACATCGAAGTAAATAAATGATAAAGTACGTGAAATGCGTTCGATTAACTTAATTGCCCGCCACGTGGGCGAAATATCGCGTAAAGCAATATTTTCCACGGAAAATACATTCTGGCACATTCCCCAATTGTTTTTATTTATATTAGCATGCATAAATATTTTAAACATACATTCATATGACAATTTGTTTGATTTTCACGAAAAATAACAGAAATTCAAATGATTTCCAGAGAATCTCGGAGAGATGCATTGTCGAAATCGACGGTTAACTTTGCCTCTAATTTAAACAAGCGTACAACGTTTTGATCTGCGTATAGCGGACAAATACCTTTTTTAATGATATATTAAACAGACCTTTACCGAAAGCTCTGTACAAGCGAAACGATCGTACGCGGACAATCAGGCGTGACAGTGCAAGGTGAAATGAGTGATAATTCGATTCATCGCCGCGATTCGTAATTTCAGTTTGACATAAAAGAGTGCAATTGTGCCAAAATGCGTTGAATCAAACGTACAAAGTCTCTAATTCGACGGTAGAAGCGTAATAAGAAGCAAAAGCGACCCACTGTCGTCGATTAATCACCTGTCTCGGCAGCGGCAAGCAAATAAGCTCGATCTCTTCCCCTAACGATGCAAGCCGAAGCTGCTCGCTTTTCTCCCTTCCCGCTTCACCCTGATCCGTCCGTACGTCGCTGCGGTACTTTCTATCCAGCCGCCGTCTGCTGCAGAAAATTGCATTAGTCGCGAAATCGCGCGTCGATCATGTCACCTCTTCCTTCGAAAAACAGACTAACACGAGGACTTCCTCCGCGAGAACTTTCAACGAACGCACCTCGCACAATTTTCAGGAATTCTCGCACACTGTAATTTCAATGCGTTCCCGCGAATTATTTTACATTTGTCTCGTTTCTTTTTAATTTGCGTTACTTTATTCCCACTCTTTACTCACAAGCAGTCGTATTAATTTCTCGCTCTCGTAGAATTAGTTCCGTTCCGTGATTAATATTACACCATACCGCCCCCACGTGTAATCGAGTCACTCACGCGAGACGGACGGCAAATTACTGGGGAAAGCTCGCGTTTCCTTTCGACGAGGGAGACGTCCCTTCCTTAACGCGTTCCCTTTCGATCTTCTCCAGCGCCTTCCTTCATTTGATCGGACGAAGGAGCCGGGGAGAATCGCCCGTGTTCCACGCTACCCTTTCCCACGGCATTTGAAAGAGGGTAGCCCCATTACTCCTCCCCCGCGAGAACCGGGTCTCCGATTTATCCTGCGATCCCGGCGAATCCTCCGGCTCGCAAGGGATACCGCGCCAATTTAATAACGCGCGAAAGAATTGTCATCCCGAGCATGAGACGCTGACGGTGACGCGCGAAGCTCTGGAAGTTTCTCGCTCCTTTAACGCACTTTCTATTAATAACGACATGCAACGCGTCTTCTTGATCCTGTTCAATAGATGGTACAAACTTCGATCGACTCGAAAATTGTCGGCGATAATTATATTTAGAATATTTAACCCTTCTCCGACTTTCCTGCGGACGAAGTGAAAGCGCGAATGCTGGCCAGGTGTTATTAAAAACGTCTCCCGCGTACCTCCGACGGCGGCGTCGCGACGCCAACTGAGGAGCACGGCACACTCGACGCCGGAACTCGGGGCGCTTTGAAACCGGCGCTACCGGCCGCAGGGCCGTACCAACTGCATAAAAAGCTAGTAAAAAAATAATGTGTTAACCACCAATTAAATTTCTTCCTCCCTTCCCGTTTCTCTTCCCTCTCCCTCCCCCACGATAGAACAAAGTTTAAGGAAGACTGAACAAAGGCGATTTCTTTAAATACAATATCAATCTTTTGCTCCCTTTCTGTTTCTCTTCCCCCTCCCTCCTCCGTGAATTTTGCAATGCTAACGACTTCACTTTAAAATTATGAGTGAAATCCTTCACTTTTTGTCTTACAGTGAATCAATTTGCTCTATTGGAGTAAATATTCATTCGAGTAGAGTGAAGTGGTCAGTGACCCATGATTTTTAGAGTGAAAATTTCACTCTAAAAATTTTAGCGAGTCTGGAGTGATTCCGCACTTTTGCACCTTTCTAACCTAAAAACTGTCAGTTCGCGGAAACATTTGTGTAATATACAAATTAAATGGCTTACGTGTACAGATCGAAAGCAGCTCGCTATTCCGGCCAAATGAAAGAACAATATGGCATCACTGAAACTAAATTTGTAAGTCTAATAAGAAATAATAGTGAGCAACACATACATACGGTACATGTAGTATGTGTGTTGCTCACTATTATTTTTTATTAGACTTACAAACTTAGTTTCAGTGATATCATATTGTTCTTTCATTTAGCCGGCATAGCAAGCTGCTTTCGATCATCTGTACACCTGCCATTTAATTTGTGATATACACAAATCTTTCCACGAAACAGACAGTTTTAAGTGCAAAAGGTGCGAAAGTGCAGAATCACTCCAGCATCCCCTTAATTTCCACTGGCTTTCTATTCCACTTCTAACGGCTTTTGATTTTACAAGCATTTCTGCTGGCTAATATTTCGTCAGAATACTGAGAGTTTTAAATATTGAACAAAACTGAGAAAAATATTCTTCCTCATTCTTCACAGTTTACATTTAATGTATAAGATAAGAGCGACATCATTCTCGCATCTGTATATATATTTACTTCCAATTAGTATAATTGAAAAGTACTTTCGAAGTACAAAGAGTACTTGCGTAGAAAAGAATTAGCTAATGTGTTTATTATCCGAAGAAAATTATAATAAATAACAAAATAATACATGAAGAAACGGGGAGAAATAACAGCCGGACCATTAATTATTTTATTTATTAATATATAATTCTTAACAATGCTAATTCCATAAAATCGATCTTACCACACCAAGGATTTAATTGATCTGATAACTTTTCTGGTTGCCTATTTTTCACATATTTCACCGCGCACTTCCTGATCAACTATCAACCTATCAACTAATTGTAAATATGGTAAATTGTATTATTTCTTAACCTCTAATTAGTTTTTACAACCTGAAAGATTTCAGATTTAGATATTGACTATTAATTCTGATATATCTGGAACTCTGGAATTTTCATGATGTACATACAAATATCAACTTTATTTAAATAAAAATGTAGTTTTAGATTAACTTTTTTTCTTTCTTAAATGTGAAATTTATTTCGATTGAAATCCGTAGTTATTTCTTCAAGCCCACTTTATGTACATATTATGACATTCATATAAAATTTTCTTTATCATTCCGTGCCTAATAATAACGAAAAATATTTGAAGAATTTAAAATGCACACATTTACAAAATATACACCGGAATACCTATATGTATACACACGCCTACGTACTTATCTGCCGGTCTCATTTATCATTTGCAAGAGAATTCAGAATAGAATTCTATTTAAAATTATATTTTTATGTATTTATACATACAAATCAGAATCAAGAAGAAAGGGCTCTGAGCCGTGACGAGATGTACATGTCAAAATATAAAATAATTTATTGTTAAACTGACATAAAGATTAACTTGATTAATATGTTAACCGTCACGACACTTTGTATAAAATTATTGTGTATTACTGAAGATGGTCTAGAATTCGACCGAAACGTTTAATCAAGTTAATCTTTATGTCAGTTTAACAATAAATTATTTTATATTTTGACATGTACATCTCGTCACGGCTCAGAGCCCTTTCTCCTTGATTCTGATTTATATCATACGAGCCTTTGTCACACATTATACATACAATAAATTTTTATAAAATTCGAATAGAATTTTATAGCAGGATTAAAAGTACTTTTTCGTACTATTATAAATATCTTCATAAATTCAAGTCTCTATTTTTATATTAAGAAGATACGTCACCTTGATTTTTCAGTTATTCGATATCATATAAGACAATTCATCTTATGCGAACAATTTCTTATTTTACAATTTTTATATTTCATTCGTTTCATTATTATCTTTTTTAATTGATTTAGTTAAAACGAAAAATATAATAGTCACTACGAAGAAAATATTAAAACAAAAGTCGGAAATAAATGTTTTATAAGATCTTGACTACAATAATTGGATATTTACAAGTTTAAAGTTACAAACACAATTTGTCTACCTGCTTGCCTATAAACCTATACACAATAATTCGGAAAAATTAACCACGTAAATATCATTTGTATCTAGATTTACAGTTGATCAAGCATTATATCCCCATGTAACAACGCAAGAACGACGGATCTTGATTGTAATATCATCTGTTTCTCGAAACGACCGTTTAAAATGAGTCGTAATCGCCGTCGACCTTACGCTGTCATTTATATTTGCGGAAACAGCCACCGGAAGATGCAACGCTTACCTCCTACGTGGATGTGTTCCCCAGAGAAACGAAACGAAAATCTCTGACCAGAGAAAATGATTCATCGTGATTTACGACGATCGATGTCACTCCAGAGGGGAGGAAAGCTTATGATTTATTTTTAGAAATAAATGACTCATATAACTTAAAACAAATATACTCTCGCATCTTCTCGAATGTGAATGACGCCGAAACAGTTCGTGATACAAGCACGCGTTTTAGCGAAGGGAATATAGTGAAGAGAAGGATAAAGCCCGACGAAAAGGAAAAGGCGAAGAGTATATTATATTCAATCACAAAATGAAGAACCCAAAAGCAAGCATACTAGATATTTATACCGCGCTCGAAGATTACCACAAAATGACGGTTGTTTCTTTATCGGCGGTATACTGGTGGACCGGTGAATCCAAGAAAAAGGTAAGGTGTCGTACAATAGTGATCAAGAATATCAAAACTTATATTCGCAACAGTTTCTATAGCTATCAGTTTAACTGTTAACACATAAACATGAGAAAGCATATCTATTATATATTTAATGAGATTATCATGTTGTCACAATTAATACCAAATAATCGTTCTCTTACAGAAGAATTGTATTAAAACATACAAATATACGAATATAACATAACTTTAATCACACAACATTTATGTGAGAAAATATACGCACGGGAGTTTGTCGGTGCACACACGTGAATGAGATATAAATGCCGAATTTCTTGTGGCCATGTAGAACTATTGTATTTATAATCTTCTCTACAAAAGTAATAATTCTCTTAAAAATCAAACAAAAATTTTATCGGAAAAAATAATGTAGATAATTTTTTCTGCAAAAGTATCTTCTCTCTACAAAAATTTCATCTCTATAAAAATATCTTCTTTACAAAACTATCGTCTCTACAAAATTTTTAAATCAAAAACTAATACTAAAGCACCTAGTTTGTATAAATATCCGTTGTTATATTTGGCGCAATTTGTTGATATCATTACTTTTGTAGAGAAGATAGTTTTGTAGAGTAGTTAAAAATGTTATATTTATTAAAAAATCAAACTAAAGATTTTATTGGAAAAAATAATGGAGTTAATAATAAAATGGCACAAACTAAACTGAATATTTTTACAATTTAAGTACTCTATTATTTTTTACATTATATGTATTATATAACGCGTATCTTTCTCCTACCGTAACCATTCTGTAAACATTTCATTCGGCCAATAACGTATCGACAGCACCGATGAAAAGAATAGCAACTGTTTAGAAATTTAGAAACTCTGTATCTACTCAGGCGAATTAAGGCCTGTGTCCATGATGCTAGTACTTGGTCCAAGTTCTAATTCCGCAAAATATGTAGCCAATCAATATAGCTGTTCCACAAAAGCAGCAAGTTGATTGGCTACGCATTTCTCAAAACTAGAACTTCAAAGTTAAACAGTGAACATTTTGTTCAGTTTGACAATAAAACAGTACTACCGAAGAATAATTGATTTATCTCCGTTTAACTGTTCTTCTTACAGTCCATTACAATAAATTTTCGCATTATTTGACGAATAAGAAAGTATTATTATGCACTGTGGTTTAAAAATAACTTACTATTTTCCGCAAGCCAATTTCAAAAGCGCATTAATTATTTATGTATAGTGCATTTAACACTATTTAGTGCTTAATACTTTACGCGTAAATTTTGAGTCCGGATTTGATCCTAAATAAAGCTGCATAGTAAATTTATTTGGTAAACCTTCGGAAAACCCACGTATATGAAATAAGGGATAACAACACTCAATTCCTATGTATTTTTGTGTTCTAAACATGAATATGTAACTTAGACATGGCGGTCGGAACAAGAAAACCATGAAAACCATGAAAAACCCATAAAAATTATGGTTTTTAACCCTTATCCCACCAAATATCAAAACTTTTGAAAAATGTTTTAAATAAAAGTTGTAGATCTCTTCGAAATATGCATTTTATGTCCTATTCATTTTTACTGTACGAGTGATAGTTTTCGAGAAAAAGGATGGACTTCTATCTGTCCTCCAAATCTAAACATGTATTATTTTGCAGTACATGTACGCAAAAGGAACAGAAAAACGCAAAAAGGCCAGCAAAAATCAACGTTAGCTGTATATTTTTGCTACAGTGTGTTATATCTTAACGAAGTGGAGCCCCCCCGAAGGGAGGGGCGGAACATACTGT